TGTCACAGCCAAAAAATACACTCCAGACACGCTGCTGGCACTAGAGGCACAGCATGGCCGCCTAGTAACGGCCCCGACCACTGCCGCTTGACCTGACCGGAAAAAACCGTAGCAGGTATATTTCAATTTGGCCCGGCAGGGCAAGTGACCCCGGGCCACTCTGGTAGCCTGAGTTTTTTTTTTTTTTTTTGCTGTTGATTTATTTGGTGTCCACTCTATGGACTTGTGACAAGTCTGGCTTAAAAGGTGTGAGACGTTTGCTATAAGGACCCTGAAAAAAAAAACTCCTGAAAATTTAGAGGTCTGTTAACGGCTTCTCCTGTTGCCAGCTGTTGGCATATATGACAAACATGACGGATCATTCATTGACATTCGACCATGACTGTGCTGGCACAGTCAATGCAAAGCACGAACTGCAGCAAGGGAAGAAAAAGTCCGATAAAGAAATAGATAAACAAGTTAAAGGGAAAAAAAAAAAAAAAAAGAACACACTCCACAATAAACTTCAATAAACTTGAATAAAGGTATTAAATTATTAATATACTATCTAGGCTACCAATGGGGCCACCCGAGTCACCCTATTTTCCCCGGCAGCCCGGCCATACAAGGACCAGGGAAGGTCCTAGCAAAAAAAAAAAAAAAAAAAAAAAAAGATATAAAAAAAATCCGAAAACAAACTATGTTATGCAGAAAAATAAACGGAACAACTTTTGCCTCAGGGTCACATTAAAGGTTTCACCGGCTCTGATTTTTTTACGCCGGGAGTATTGTGGGGAGGGTAACTCCCCTGCGACCGAATAGCATCGTCTTGTCTCTCTCATGGTCCCTCCCCCTTGCCAGGTTGGCAGGCATGGGTGAGATATGGATGACACCCCCCATATCAGTATTATGAACAGGTCCGGGCTTTCGCCTTGGTCACAGATACGGAGCCTCCATGCATACATTGCTGCTGCGTTAGCATTGGTCGGGTGCTGCTGGTGGTGGAAGGATGTTCACTCCATCAAGGTGAAGAGWGGTTTGCTGTTGATTGCCGAGAAGACGGATTTATGAAGAAGATATACATCATGCTTGTGTGGCCTTGATTTGCTGATGTATTAGCTTCTTGTGCCTGGAGATTTTAAAGTGGGCAATTGCAGAGGATCTGGGAGTTATCAAGGGTCAGACATGGCGTTTATCATGCTGCCGTGCTTTCGTTGGAGTGTGTGTCTCCTTTGAGTATGAGGATGCAGCTGTTACCTGCGAGCATAAAGTGGTGTTTGTTGTGCCTGTGTGGCGCTGATTGGTTGAAGTGTTGGATTTGCTAATGCCTTTTCCTACGGTCAATGATGGATGAGAGTACCAGGAATATTGTCATGCCATTGGGTGCAATCATCTGTTCTTCGTGGTTGGCTTGTGATCTGCTCTTCGGGATCGACTTTCCATGTGTAATACTCTATAGGCTGCCAGTGCCACGTGTTTTCTGTTACTGCACGAAGGTGAGGAGTACTGTTGTGCCATCAGGTGGAATCTCTTGCTCTTCACCTCATGATTGATCTGCTACGACTGCCACTCCATAATCCGCCACATGCACACAGTTGTACCATCAGAGAAATTGGGTTCAATTTTTTGAGGTGATTTACACTTTTTGACGTTTTGTAGTTTTAGGTTAGGGATGGACCTGCCATTTATAATCGGATGATATTCTGGAGATCATCCAGAATGACAGGCTTGATGTTGCCCCCCATCAAGCATTTCATTTTGGACACTCTTCTTCTGCTGCAGCCCACAGTAGGCTTGCCTCCCTCTGTCGTCTTCCGACTGAAATTCCCTTTGGCTGTTGGATCGGAGAGAGTGGGACATCTGGCTTATTGGAAATCTGCTTAGCTCGAAATTGGGTTTACTTTTTTGAGGTGATTTACACTTCTTGACGTTTTCTAGGTTTTTGTTAAGTAGTCCTTAATTGGGAATTCATTTTGTGTTGAGTATTAGTCATGATTACAGTTTCTGTTTTGTAGATAACTTAGGGTTAGAGATGATTACGGTAGTTGTATCAGGGAATAGGTCAGCAATTTGCGTGATGTTATGCGTTGTGCATTGTGCAGGTGATAGACGGGAGCGCAGCTTATGCACAATCAATTGTTTTTCAAATCTTTGATAGCTACTTGGCAGGTTGTGCTGGATTATGATAATTTTGTCAGCCATTGACTTGATTGCAGATGACTGTATGCCACGAAGAGGAAATTATTGGAATCCAGGAGATTATCCAGAATGACAGGCTTGATGTTGCCCCCAATCAAGTATGTCATTTTGGACAATCTACTTCTGCTGATTGATTGGTGAGAGTGGGACAGTCGGCTTATTGGAAATCTGCTTTGTTCGAAAATGGGTTTAATTTCTTGAGGTGATTTACACTTTTTCACGGTTTTTAGTTTTAGGGTTACGGATGGACCTGCCATTTATAACCGGATGATATCCTGGAGATTATCCAGAATGACAGGCTTGATGTTGGCCCCCATCAAGTATGTCATTTTGGACAATCTACTTCTGCTGCAGCCCACAGTAGGCTTGCCCCCCTCTGTCGTCTTTTGACTGAAATTCCCTTTGGCTGATTGAATCGGAGAAAGTGGGACATTTGGCTTATTGGAAATTTGCTTTGCTCGAAATTGGCTTTAATTTTTTAGGCGATTTACACTTTTTGACGTTTTTGAAGGTTTTGGTTAATTAGTCCTTAATTGGGAATTCATTTTGTGTGGAGTATTAGTCATGACTACAGTTTCTGTTTTGTAAATAATCTAGGGTTAGGGATTATTACGGTAATTGTATCAGGGAATAGGTTAGAAATTTGTGTGAATGTTTTTGATAATATAGAATTAATCGATACATTCGAATAGGATTAAATTTTAAGTACTAACATAGATGAGGCTTTGCAACTAGAGTTCTGCACGGGATGGGCTGAAGACAGGCGTCTTCACTGTGGGAGGTCCGTGGTTGGGGATGGGACTGGCCAGAAGTGCCTCTCCCAGCCTGGATTGGCTACAGAATTCATGTGAGGGACGCCGGGCCCGTTTCCCGGTTTTATAATAAATGATTTTCTTTTGAAAAAAAGATTTTTTTTACCAAATTTAGAATAAAAAATCAAATTAAAAAATAGTAAAATACTCAAAAAAAAAAAAAAAAGCATTTACTTTTTTTTTAGCCCGGCCGGCCAAGTGGCCACGGGCCACTCTGGTAGCCTGGATTACTATTAAATAAAGTTCAAGACTTCAGCAGTTCACAGTTCAAAGTTTGAAGTCCAAGTTCAAACTCTCTCTCTCTCTCTCTCTCTCTCTCTCTCTCTCTCTCTCTCTCTCTCTCTCTCTCTCTCTCTCTCACTGTGTGTGTGTGTGTGTATGGGTGTGTGCGTGTGTGTGTGTGTGTGTGTGTGTGTTTTGAATTTTCACCACAACAGCCCCTATTCCACCCAGATGAACAGATCCAAAATCAAAGCACATTTACTCCTATTACAGACAACTAAAGCCCGTGAATTCAGACAACCCAACAATGAAACAGTTTCACCCCAATAGCAAGCAACATGCAGTACAGTAGCTTTTCTGTCTGGTGGCTGGGCTGAGAGCTTGAATGGAAGAGCGGGCGGGCGGGAAAGCATGCCGAAGTGCCACGACCCACCCTTTTTCCTCGTCCTTACTGGCCCGTGCTCAGCCCTCCAACGGTCTGGAAGCAAGTCGTAAAGGTGCCTGTTCGGCCATCCTGTACGGCCGATACCGGCCCCCAAAAATCAACCAAACATTTGTCTAGGGGCGCCCTGGACCCAAGGAAGGTCAAGGGTGGCCCCCTACTTTTTCAAATTTTGTGGTTTTGGCCCCCTCCGGACGGGCCTCCTAGTCCAGCGTTCAGACACCAGACCACAGACCGTCTGGATGGCCGTCCGGATGCCCAGATGGTGGCCATGGTTTAAATGCAGACCTGAGTTTGAATCCAAATGGACCTAGGTGAATAAAACATCTCTTGAATTACTCTAGGCCAGTCAGTTCGAATGATATCTCAAGGCTGTCCCCCTGTCAACAAACAAATAAATGAAAGGCAGTTACAGATCATTGACATCTGTGAAGTGAGCAGAGAGTCTTCAGAGAGTGCTCACACAGCTTTCACAGAGTCTTCAGAGAGTGCTCACACATCTTTCACAGAGTCTTCAGAGAGTACTGTTCTGCAGTCTTCTCTTACAAGACTCTCTGAAGACTCTGTGCAGACTCTGTGAATGCTGTGTGAACAGTACGCTGAGTGAGCAGAGAGTCTTGTAAGAGTCTTCTTGCTGCGTGGCTGCTGAGTGAGCAAGAGGACAAACGCTATTTAGTTTCTACAATGTTTTGCCGGTATGAAATCTCTCGAGCAGAAGTAGAGAGAGAGAGAGAGAGAGANNGAGAGAGAGAGAGAGAGAGAGAGAGAGAAGGGGAGGTAAATAAGAAACAAGAGAGACAGAGCTTAACACCTACCATGTGGACACTCTGAGAGAGAGAGAAAGGGGGGAGGGGGGGGGGAAGGGATACTAAACGGTAATAAGGAACAAGAGAGAAGCAGCTTCCAGAGGTAGCAGAGCTTAACGCCTACCGTGTGGACATCATATTTGACATCCAGGTATTTGTCGTTCATGGGACTCCACTCAGTTACATCTGCCCCATTCATTATGCCTAATATCCCCTTCCTCGCGATAACCTGTGTAAGGCCACATCCTAGATCTTCCTCAGTGGACACTTGCGCCGCATATGTTGGACTGACGGTCACCAGCAGATCAGACTCCTCAAACCCTGCCTTCATCCAGTTGATCACTTTCTCTCCATGCTGACTGACACTGCCTCTGCGATTCCAAAGCCACATGAAGAAAGAGCAGAGAACAGAGGCATAGGTACTGACTGACCCATTACAAAACACCACAGCATATGGTCGGCCATTTCGGGGATATTGAGTAATTTTTTCTTCTTGGGGCACGTGAAGACAGGATGAAGAGAGCAACGTGACACACAACCGACGTCCCTTTTCGTTCTTTTGCCAGACATCGGAAAGCAACCAATCAAAAATTGGAGAGAGAAATGTTCTGCAGGGCGGCAAACACAGGAGCCCAGAGACAAAGAAAAAGAGGCGCTCATACGACCTCCTCCTTTGTCCAACAAGTGGCTATCGCTAGTCAACGGCGAACTAGGTCAAATGCCAACTTATTCAACTGCTAAACCCATTCAACTGCTAGCTTAGTCAACTGCTAAGCTGGTCAGCTGCATAACTACCGTCTTCACCCGAATAGAACGCCCGGTAATTATCGTCGTATCTAGGCTGAAAGTTTTGCCAAATACAGCTATAATGACCGGCCGTTCTATTCGGGTGAAGACGGTAGTCAACCAGTAAGGTGGTCAACAGCTAAGCTTGTAAGCTAGAAAGCAAGTCAACCACAAAGGTGGTTAACAGCTAAGCTAGTCAACGGCCAAGGCGATTAACTGCCAAGATAGTCAACAGATAAGTTTTTTGGTCAACTCCTAAGCTAGCCAACTGCTAAGCATCTCAATCTCAATCTGTACTGTGGTCAACCGCTAAGGTCTTCAATTGCCAGGGTGTTGACTTAACTGGCAACTGCCAAAATAGTCGGTCAACTGCTATGCTGGTCAGCTGGATAGCAAGTCAACGACTAAGATAGTCAACTGCTACGATAGCCAATCGCTAAGTAAGCCAAAATAGTCGGTCAACTGCTATGCTGGTCATCTGGATAGCAAGTCAACCACTAAGGTGGTCAACTGCTAAGATAGCCAATGGCTAAGTAAGCCAAAATAGTTGGTCAACTGCTATGCTGGTCAGCTAGATAGCAAGTCAACCACTAAGGTGGTCAACTGCTAAGATAGCCAATGGGTAAGTAAGCCAAAATAGTCACTCAACTGCTAAGATAGCCAATGGCTAAGTAAGCCAAGATAGTCGGTCAACTGCTATGCTGGTCAGCTGGATAGCAAGTCAACCACTAAGGTGGTCAACTGGTAAGATAGTCAACGGCGAAGTAAGTCGACGGCTAAGGTCGTCAATTATTTACTAAGCTAGTCAACTGCTAAGATGGTCACTCAACTGCCAACTCATAACACAGTCAGTCCACCTGTAGGAAAGTCAGCTGCGCAGTTGATCAAGTGCTAACTGCTACCGTCTTCTTCGACCCAATAGAACGCCTGGTCATTTTGGCCGCATGTGGGCTGAAAGTTGGCCCCAAATACAGCTATGATGACCGGGCATCGTATTCGGGTGAAGAAGACGGTAGGGTGGTCGACTACTAAGATAGTCAACAGCTGAGTTGGTGAACTGCGGGTCGTTTAGCTACCGCCTTCCCCCGAACATAACGCACCCTGAAAATGAACGTATACAAGGTATGTTTCCGGCCCCATACAGTCAAAATGAGGCTGCGATGTGTTCGGGGGAAGACGGTAGTCAGCTGTTGAGCTCGTGAACTGGTAGGTGAACCAATCACGAGGGGCTCAACTGCCAAGATAGTCAATCAACTGCTTGCGACGTCACTACTAAGCTTAGTCAGCTGCTAAGCTCGTCAACCTGCCATGTCAAACAACCACTGAGGTGACCAGCCACCAGAGTTGTCAGTAGTCCTTGGCCTCTACAACACCATGGGCTTCAAAAAAAAAAAAAAAAAAAAAAAAAAAAAGGCCTAAGGTACTCAACTGCTAACCTAGTCAACAGCTAAGCTAGTCAACTGCTAAGTTAGTCAACTGCTAGGCTAGTCAATCACTAACGTGGCCTAACCGCCAAGGTACTCAACCGCTAAGATAGTCGATCAACTGCTTAGGAAGTCTTACGTGCTAGGGAAGTAGCAGTGCTATTTTGTGATCCCAGATGTCCCATGCAAAATTCCATGGTCGCAACTGAGGAGAGTGCTCCTTTATGATTCCCGAATCGAACCCATGCTGTTGTTCATCAACAGCTACCTGTCAATACCATGCAGCACTTGGATCACTGAAAATCCTCAAACAGAAAAAAAAAAAAAAAAAAAAAAAAAAAGAACTTCCCATCAAAATCTGGTCGCTGCCACAAAGGTGAGTGCTCGTTTCTGATTCAGGAATTCTTTTCTTTTTTTCTTTTTTTCCTTTTTTTTCAGTGGCCCCTGCAAACTACAGGACTCGAACTCGTGAACTTTACATTAACAGTTACATGCATATGGTACGTGCAATCAGAGTCGCTTTCTTCTTCGCTTCACATACATGCGAACAGATGGTGATCCACACGGGCGCACAGCGCCCACTCAAAACTCAGAGATATGGAAATCGAGAACACAGTTCAGACGCAAACTTGCTTCAACGGGCTATGGTGCATCAGCGCCTGTGTTCGCACTCACTCAACTCTGGATCACCCTGAATACCCCACACACACACTCTCTGTATCACACACTCACACACTAACGCCTCTCTCCTACCTACAGCGGCTATGGCCGCTCAACCCTTAACTATAGCTATGCTAACTTCTTCCAGCCCACTTCGACTTCAGGCGCTCTGCAGACCACCTCGCACAAGACGCTTGAGACAGCGCTTCCGCATGGCTTACGCAGCGAATGAATGAATCGCTGGACGCTGCCTCTTGATTTATACTTCTGTTGGTCGCTGGTCTGCCCCTTTCCTCCAGGCCCTCGGTGCACACAGTCCCACACGGTACTTGCTTGACTGGACTGCGATTGACTGGACCGGTACTGCTGACTGCACGGGATTGCACTGCCGACTCGATGCAGTCGCACTGCCTACTCGACGCAGCTGGACCTACGACTTACCTACAGACCTCTAGCTTAGCAGTTTCGACCTCTACACAGCTGTAACCCCTACTTGGCAGATCTACAGATCGAACCCCTACAACTACAAGTACAGTCACTACTAAAACACAGGTCACGGGTTCGATACGCACAGGGGTCTACTCGATACTGTACACAGTGCAGGTAAGGTCTAGGGATCGAACCCTGGAATCTGCATCTGCTTCTGCAAAGGTGAAAACCGTGTCAGTACGTATGCCATTCAGGATTTCAACTATGCAGCTCTCCTAAAGGTTTTTTTTTTTTTGTTTTTTTTTTTCAAAACCGGGGCTAGCGAGGGGTGCTGGTACGAGCAGACATTACAGAGTTTTTTCTTCTTCCTGTAAACCACCACTACCTCCGATCCTGTTTTTGCCAAGCCCGAATTTCACTGCACACCGAATTTTTTTGCGAACCCTTGGTCCCATTGTATTTGATTCTCTGGTAATCATGGCCATTACATCAAAAAGGAACAAGAAGGAAAAAAAAAAAAAAAAAAAAGAATAAGAAGAAAAAAAAAGAAACTTCACTAACGCCATGATAGCCATCAGATACATTCTAGGAGGTGCTGGTGAGATTGTGCCCTCAGCGAGGGTGTTACATCTTCGAGTCACACGGGTCCTACCGGACCCGACTTAGGGCCAGAGGGACACACCAGGGCCTAAAGGCCCGACCTTGAGGGTCACAGACCCTAAAGGCCTGATTTTGCACTCAGCCCAGCGGGTAGGCCCAAACGACACTTTGTTTGGGCCTGGCGGCGCTCTTGAGGCTGCCACCCGCCGATGGAGGCTGAACCGCCCATCTGGACGGTCCAGGGTCTGGCCTGGCCTCGCAGCATTGAGGCCAGACCATGGCCTACCGGTATAAGTACCGGTACCTGCCTCAGTAGAGGCATCAACCTACCGGCACTATACCGGTACGGTATGGTCAGCGCCAGAGCGCTGTTTGATGCGCTAAACTTAGTGCAGGGGCTGAAGCAGGAGCGCAGCATAGCGCAGATTAGCGCAGCAGCGAGCGGAGCAGCGGCAGGGCGACTGAGCCAGCACGGCGGCCATTGCCGCCTGAGGTACCGGGAGCTTGGAGGATCTCTCCTCCTCTCCCTCGCCAGTCCCCTCTCTCTCTCTCTCCTCTTCTCCCTTCTTCTTCTTCTTCTTCTTCTTCTTCTTTTTCTTCTTCAGATTGGAGACTATCCAGTTGGACAGAGATCAGGGTTGGACTTCGGTGATATGAGACTGTGGTACTTACCTGATTGGAGACCTGGAGATTGTTGAGGTTGATACTCGGCTGCATCACAGTTGGACACCGGTTACATCTGGACTCGGTTATCTCCGACATTGGTGACCTTTGGTCCTCGACATTTTGATCTTGTTGTATGACATTTTGGACTACTACTTCGGAGACCTACCGGACCCTATCTTGTGACCTATCGGTGTGATCTACCTCCTACCTCCTTCGTCTCTCCTCCCACCTTTCATCTGTGCATGTGTGTACGGGATCTGGGTATCTTCTATGCATGACCCAGACCCCACCATCTCATGATTGTATGTGTGTGGAGTGATGCCATGTAGGTCAGTCTATGTGAGTCAGTCTATGTGAGTCAGTTCGTTATAAGACTTCCACTGCATAAAAACTCATCCTATATTGGTTGATTCTTGGTTCTGCCCATACTCATTGGAGTATGTAACAGAGGGTGTCTGTCCGACGAAAAACTGAAGAACAAAAAAAAAAAAAAACTTCCCTTATGCTGTAATCGCGGTCAGATACAGGAGGCTAGAGTATTTGTGTGAGTATAAGGGTGGGACCGCACTGGCGGCGGCAAGCAATCGGAAAATATTTTTTGGGACTCCACTGCTGGCCGCAAACGCAAGCATTTTTGTTTCCACTCTGCCTACCCTCCACTTTTTCAGCACACCAACCAATCCCCCCCGTGCTTCCTTTCCGCACGGGATGGGTAAATCTAGAGGGTGTGTTTTGCCTACCTCTAGAGCTCGGCAAACACACCCCCTCTAGAGTCACCCATCCCTTGTGGAAGGGCAGCACGGGGATTGGTTGGTGTGCTGAAAAAGTGGAGGAAAACTTGCCCGAAAAGGCAAGTCTTCCTGATCGGGTAACATAAACCTCGGGAAGTGCCGAAAGTTGCTGTGGCGGTTGAGTCCCTTCTTGCTTGCCCATTCCCGTCAGCTACGATTCTGGGCTGGCGGATGTTTTCCTAACGCCAAGCACCACCAAGCAGTGGTGTCCCACCCTAACATGAGTGTGGCACCTAGCAGTCCTGCGTGGAATCCGCCTGCCCCTCTGGCAGGGCACAAAAAGGCAACCAAAACAAGAGGGGGGAAATAAAAAATCTGCAATCACGTTCCTCGCATAATGGGCAGATACATTCCTCAAAGCACACGTGGTACTTCCACCTTCGTGAGGAAGTGGAAGAGGGGCCTTCCAAAACAAATGAAGAACAAAAAAAACAAAAAATCCCCTAATGCTGTGATTGCGGTTCGGTACAGGATGCTAAAGTACTCCTGTAAGTATAACATGCGCTAGGCAGTTAGCTGCCCTGCGTGGAATCCGCCCTGCCTCTCTGGCAGGCCACGAGAAGGAAAGGAAAACAATAAACGCAAAAACATATTCGACAGCAATCACATTCCCCACACACTGGCCAGATACATTCCCCGAAGCACTGGTGCGCTATGTCGATGGATTCGACATGCTTAGTGTTTTTTTTTCTTTTCTTTTCCCAAGGCTGCCAGTTGTCCAATGTGCAAGGAAAATGAGCAATGGCGAAATGACAGATTTCAGATTGCAAAATCACATTGAAAGCCAGGAAGTCTGACACTGTGCAGAAAGCAGAATTGCACTGATATTACACCAGTGGAGAACCAAAACACAGAATTTGGGTGTCTGCAATGACTTGCTGATTTCTGAGTGCCTGTAGCCTCTCTCTGTCGAGGCTGTACTATACGTAGGACAGATTCGTAATTTTGTTTGGCTGAGGGCTAACCGAGAAACCTACCTGTGAGGGAAAAAAGTGAGGGACATATCTGCAAATCCGGGAAAAATACAGGCCCGGTACTAACCGGAATCCCCACAGCTACCTAACTGCGTTTAGCAGGCCCGGGCTACCAATAGTACAGACAGGCCCTAAGGGCCTATTCGTATAGACGGTCCTATAGCCTATAGCCGGGTCCGGTAGAGGCCGAGAGGCCGAAACTGATACGGTACCGGTCGGTCAGTCAGTCYGGTCTAGGTCGAGTCTAGGCTAGTGGTAGGGTATAGGTAGGATGGGCACATCGGTGCAGGGCTTTTTGGCAGTTGGTACCGTGTACATGGCGGCTGCGCTACGTGTGAACTGGATGTGGTGACGGCTCCACTTGGAAGGAGACGGACATAGCCAGACCTTAGGAGCACAGGCCATAGCTGGGGCCTGCGCTGTACTCTGCCA